ACCTTATTTGATGTATGGGGTGAACAAATGTAACGATATCCTTGCCCCTTCTTCCTTATTAACTCGGATACCCAACGGTTGAGGCTTATTATCCTCCTTGGGCGGATCAACCGTTGGAGAGAACTTGATGACGAAGGCTTACTCTCCATCTTATTCTAATTCACGGAGAGCACATCGACTAATCCTTTCTTTTTATTATCTTATTATTATGAGAATGAATGCAATTCATGAATGCAACGCAATAGACGGTTGAGAGATGATGAAAAGAAACAATTTTATTTATTTCGTCCATACGAGTGTACATTCCTCAATGCAATGTTTTGAAGCCTAAATAGGCGGGTTAGAATTTCTATTTAATTTCTTTTTTTTGTGCATGGCATGCGAATGCCTTACCCTCTTTTCATGGTATTGAGGAATGTTCACTTTCTTCAAGCTGTCTATTGTTACATGTATGAAGTTTGGTGGATGCATGTATGCAAGTGTTTGTTTTTCCTAAACATTATCATGTTTTATTTTCTAACATGATGTATGATAGTGTTTGGGATTTTATGTGTTTTTTTTTTTTTGCATGAGGATGACAGCATGAAGAATACTAGCCGCTTTCTAGAATGCCAAAAGATTTTTATTGTTTAAAATGAATTATTTATGAAATGGATATTCCTTAAGACAATGACTTAGGTATCCTCTTTAAAGCTTACGCTTTGTGGGGTATCCTACCCACCTTGGTGTAATGGTTCCTTACCCATCACGGATTTGACAAGTATAATGGGGGTCACCATCACACCTTAGTACACTTGTCCCTTCCTTGCCGCGAAGGTCACAAATGTGCTCGGGGCCTCTTTCACCATTGTCTTAGGGATATCTAGTGGTCCCTAGAATGAATGTATCTATGCATGCACCATTACAAAAGGCAGCGAGATGTTCAAAGTGGCATAACTCTTGAGCGAGATGTCCGATTTGGACGTACGAGCATACCAAAACGAAGAGAAAAAGGTGAAGAACCAAACTGCAAATACCCGAAGGGGATTTGGCCCGATATTTTTCCCAAAAAACGCCTCTAAGACACATTTTTGAGAGGTTTATTAAAATGATGCGTATGCATACTTTCCTTATGCATTTATTTTCTCTCTTGTTTTTTCACTTATGGCATGATGCAATATGAATGACACGACTTTGTCAACATTATTTTATAAATGTTTTGATTTTGTTATTATTATTTTATTTTATTTTATTTTTTTTGGATTTTTATTTTGATTTTTATTGCTTTTTATTTTATAGCCTTTTATCTCTTACGTCGGAACTGCGTGGTTACTTAGCTTACAAAGAACCCGAAACCAGGCTAGCTAAAAGGCGGACTGTCCGAGATAAAATGTGGCTTTATGCGAAAGAATATTTAGCGTCCCTTATCTCTTCTGTCGGAACTGCGTGGCTACTTAGCTTACAAAGAACCTGAAACCAGGCTAGCTAAAAGGCAGGTCGTCCGAGATAAGGGTGTTTATTTGTAAAATATATTTTTTTTGTGATTTTGTTCTGTTGTTTGTTTATGCTATGCAACGAGTCAAATGCAACAGACATATGCACACACAATTCGATCATCCACGAACAGGCGAGAATTCATTTTTATCACGAGGTAGGGTTTTCCTGCAGAAAAGTGCATTGGCAAGGGTTGGTTCTAACTGTTCTCACCAGGCTAAGGCCCCCAAGGTGCCCCCATTATAGGGTCCCCACTCTCCAGCCGTCCGACCATGCTCAACACTAAGGCCGGAGTCGGTCTTGTTGCCAAAAGAGGAAGGTTATCACCTTGAGTGGTGGTTTCCGATCACACCTGGTGGGCACAAGGCCCTAACTGCAGCGAACCGTACCTGCCACCCACTCCCTATGGTTTTCTCACTTGCCCCCGGGTATAGAGGGAACTGTAGTGTGCAAGGGACTTGTGTGCAGTTTATATCTCAATCAATTTGCGTAAGTATAAACAAACAACAGTTTATTGAAAGCCAGACAATAAAGCATGTTATAATACAAGGTAGGGTAAAAGCGCTATTTTCTTGGTTTATTTATTGTTTAAGCCGACCTATCACTAAATGGGACTAACTCTCTAGGCTTCCCCAGTGGAGTCGCCATCTGTCGCCGCCGTCAAAAACGAGGCGGTCGGAGCGACGCGATGGTTTTATCGACCCTCTTGATTTTCGCGTTTTTTATTGGTGGTTACAACGTCCTTAGGTTGTCCAGATAACCGGGCTAACCTAGAGACGAGGTTTTCGAAAAGTGTCCTTGAGTTGTCCGACAACCGGGCTAACCCAAGGACTTATTTATTTTGGGTTCTATGGAGTCGCCACCGATATTTTTACCATAAACATCGGAAAAGGGGTTTTAAAAAGGCGTTGGTTTTCGAAAACCAACTTTGGTCATTAGAACCGGAGTTGGGTAAGGGAGTTGGTTACGTGCAAAGGGAGTATTAGTCCCTTTGCGACGCCCCTTCGGGTTCCCTATGATAGGCCGGCTTATTTTTATTGATAAACTAGAAAATTGCGCTTTTACCCTTTTATTATGCGGTATTTAAATTTATGACTACATGGCCCTAACGTCTATTGCATAATTTAAATGAAAGCGGTAAAGTAAAGAAAGAGGTTTATGAACCTTCGAAGCAAGCTTTCTTATATTCTTTAAAAAAGGGTGCTTTGTGGCAGCCCTCTCACTCTACAACTCTCAGAAACTCCGGAAATGCCTCGGAGGGATTCTTAAGAAGATTTAGAATGCTCGATCTATGCCTAGAGACGCTCAGAAACTCCGGAAATGCCTCGGAGAGATTCTTAGAGAGAGAAAATCTAGAGAGAAGGGAGAGCTACTGTTTTTCTGTGTGGAAATGAGGGGGGGAGGACCCCTATTTATAGTTTTTCGCGCTGTCAGGGTCCAGACCGTCGTTCTCGTCTGACAGGGTCGAGACCGCCGTCTCGTCCAACGAGACCGCCGTCTCGTTTGACAGAAGCAACGAGACCGCCGTCTCGTACAACGAGACCGCCGTCTCGTTTTGCATAAGCAACGAGACACCGGTCTGGGTGAACGAGAACCCGGTCTCGTTTTCGTCGTCAACGAGACCCCGGTCTGGGTGAACGAGACCCCGGTCTCGTTTTCGTTGGCAACGAGACCCCGGTCTGGGTGAACGAGACCCCGGTCTCGTTTTCGTTGGTAACGAGACCTCAGTCTGGGTGAACGAGACCCCGGTCTCGTTGGAGCATCTTTCGCTCAAGCGAGTACATGTGAGTACATCGGTCGCTTGAGCGAGACTCGACCCGGAAGTCCCTTTTGGTGGCAGCATCCGTCGCTCAAGCGAGTACACCAGTCGCTTGAGCGAGATTCGACCTGGAAGTCCCCTTTGATTGCGGCACCTGTCGCTCAAGCGGCGGACGTACTCGCTTGAGCGAGACTTGACCCGGGAGTCCCCTTCCACGCGAGAAACTTTATTTTGGGCCAAAAAACCTTCCCATCTTGGTACGGGAGCCTAATAGTCTCTCCTAGTGGCTTGTTAGGCTTCGGGCGTCCTCGAATAGGGGATCTTCTGACTTTATTTGGAGCCCGGGCAAGATTTGGGGTCTACAGGGCTTTGTAAATATTTTGTTTTCATCAATACAATGAGGCATTTGCATAAACATTCATATTATTTTTCATTCTTTTCTCCCTCATTATTATTTCAAAATAAATGATGATAAAATCTAAGCCTAAATAGAACCAAATAAAAACAATCATGTCTATGATGGATGACTCTTTGGGGATCCGAAAGTCGAAGGCGAATGGACCGAGTCAGACAGTGAGAAGGGGGTCGTCTCCCCGGACATACAAAGGCTGTTAAAAAAAAAAAGAGGAGCTCAATCTATATGGCCCATTTAGGAAGAAACCGAGGCCATCGATTTGGGGGTGTCGCCCCCGTCAAAAGAGGCGGTCGGAGCGATGCGATAGTTCCGACTTTCGTTTTTGCATTTTTAAAGGGGTGATGTTACAACACCTTTAGGTTGTCCGATAACCGGGCTAGACCTAAGAGCGAGGTTTTCAAAAGTGAGATTTTAGGTTGTCCGATAACCGGGCTGGACCTAAAAGCAAGATTTTTGAAGAGGGTTCTTATGGAGTCACCACCGATGTTTTTACTGAAAACATCGGAAAAGGGAAAAAAGAAGGCATTGGTTTTTAAGAAAACCAACTTTGGCCACTATAACCAGAGTTGGGTAAGGGAGTTAGTTACATGTAGGGAAGGTATTAGCCTCCCTATGACGCCCTTTTCGGGTTCCCTATGATAGGCCAGTTATTTCGTAAATAAACTTTAAAATGATGTTTTTACCCTTTTATTTGCGGAATTAAAAAGATAGTGACTACATGGCCCTAGTAACTAATGTACAAATAAATATAAATAACAAAGCGATGAAAGAGAGGGAGAAAGTGAAGAAACCTCCGAGGCAAGCTTTCTTGATTAATTCTCTTAAAGTAGGATGCTTTTTGGCAGTCCTTCGCTCTACAACGTCGATATTTCTCTCTCTCAACACTATAAAAATCTCTCTAAGAACACTCAGAAAACTCCAGAAATGCTTCGGAGGGGTTCTAGGAGAAGAATTTGAAGAAATGATAGAAGGAAAAGTTGAAGAACTGTGTGAAGAGAAGGGGAGAGCGCCCTCCTTTTATAGGGATTCGCACCTGTTAGGTCGTGACCGCCATCTCGCCAAACGGGACGGCGCTCTCGCCTTTGGCAAATGGCGGGACGACCGTCTCGCCAATCGGGATGGTGGTATCAATTCGACAAATGGCGAGAAGGTCGTCTCACCAAACGGGAAGGCAGTCTCGCCATGGCATGTGGCGAGACGGCCGCCTCGCCAAACGAGACGGCGGTCCCGTCCTTGTTAATGGTGAGACGACCGTCTCGATAAGCGAGACGGTGGTCTTCGACCCTTCAAGTGGAAATCCTTATTTTTCCCATAAAAAAAGCCTTCCTACTCTACTATGGGGCCTATCCTAAGGACCTTTTAGCACTTGCCCATCTTCGAATTAAAGGTCTTCTGCTATTTATTTTGAGGCCAGGCAAGATTTGGGGTCTACAACTGTCCCCCCCCCCCCCGCTTCACCTGACTAGCCAACTGTTTGCCTGTTATGCCAAAAAGATCGGATGGAGGGTGAAGGAGTTAACCCTCTTGCCCGAGTGTCCTTCGGGTGCTCCGTCTTGCGGTGGCCGACCCTCCGGACAAAAAAATGTTGTGAGCCTCCAGGATGCTCCTTCTTGCGGTAGCCGACCCCTTTGGTTGACACGTGGTAGAACCTCAGGATGCTCCTTCTTGCGGTAGCTGACCCTTCGGTTGATGAGTATGAACCCCCATCCCGTTGGTTGTAGCTTCGAGATGCTCGTTCTTGCGGTAGCCGACCCTTCGGTTGATGAGTATAAACCCCTCATCTGGCTGGTAGTGTTTGCAGTCCACCGTTTGTAGGATTGGATGAGTATAAATCCCTCATCAGGTTGGTAGTGTTTGTAGTCCACTGTTTGTAGGACTGGATGAGTATAAACCCCTCATTAGGCTGGTATGGTCCACAACGTAGGACCGGTTGTGACTTACTGCTTTAGGTCATGTGCATATCATGCGCAAGTTGATGCGCAGGTTGATGGGTATGAACCCCCCATCTGGCTGGTGCAGTCCACTTCGTAGGATTGTTGGTGGCGGCGGCTTACTGTTCTAGCTCATGCGTCGATTGATGTGAGAAAATGATTTTCTGTCTGTTAAAGTCATCTGGTGTGCCGAGGATTCTTTCGACTATTTTGGTGGTCATCCAGCTCGTTGATTGCCGGGGAGTCTTTGTCTTGTTATTTTGATATTTGTCGTCCGACTTTGCTAGTCGTCGGGGATTTTAATTATCAGCTCTTCCGATAATCGTCCAGTTTGTTGATTGCTAGGGATTTTTTGGTCAATGTGGTTGTCTTGCCAGTCTGCCTTGGCTAACATTTCGACTTTAATCCTGCCTTTTTCCGCGGTTTATCTTTTTTTCTTGCAATTTTGGATTTTTGCTTTTTTGGGACTAAGCGCAAGTCTTTTTATTTTTTTAGTCTCTTTTGTTACGCTCACTTTTTCGAAAAGAGAGAGAGTAAAGGCAAACATATTTACTAAAAATTTATTCATATTATGATAATATTTTTGTACAAAAATTATTTCGATAATGCCCCTAAGACGGCGGTGGACTCGAGCTGGGAGAAGATCCGGGAGGGGGAAACTGTCGATACATATGCCTTTGAATTTCCTCCTAGCTCCGGATTGAGCTGAGCTGGTCTTGCCGGATCAGTGCCAGGTCTTGTCTCATCCCCTCCTACATTTGGTCGAAAGTCTCCAACCGTGTCTCGAAGACATCTTGTCTTAGGGACATTTGGTCCAACTGCTGGCACATATCATAAGTATTGCGCTTGATGCCAGTGAAGTTGTCCCTGTACTGTTGTGTGTTGTTGTTGCTGCTGGAATTCCGGGGGCGTTGGGATGTCCTGCATCGCTACCAAATCTTGGAGATCTAGGGTCATGGCGAGCGTAGGGTGAAGGGCCATCCGGGTCCCCTTCCGGATGAGCATCCCCATGCTGACGAGCATGGACCCGCTGATGTATTCAGGTCGAAGATCGGAGGGGATGTTCTCTCTGTTGCGACACCCCCACTTCTCAGCCAGTGGGGTGATAAGGGGACCCATGAGGATGGCTCCCACAGGACGACACCCGAAATGTTTGACGGCCTTCACGAAAAAGTAGCCGGGATTGCACCGACGCCCATGGAGCATGTAGTGAAGGGCGAAGAGGTCCGGGTGGGTGACCTTCCCCTGACTTTCCTTTCGCCCGTGGATGGTTCCCGCCAACAGCTTGTGGCAAATGCAGAGGGCGGGGATAAGCACGGACCCCTTCAGTAGGGTCGGCAGAACTCGCTCTTCGGTGAGATCTTCCCACATCTTACCGGCTGTGAGGTTAGAGGGCCGCTCACAGATTGCCCCCTGGTATCCCGGGGTCAGGACATCCTCGGGCTGAACGAAACCGATGGAGACGTTGAATTTGTCCAACGTCGTCATTCGGTAGGACCCGTTCATGAAGTACGAGAGACCATTTTGACCGGAGGGATGCCCGGGATCATCGTGGGGAGCTCAAACGACGTAATGGAGGCGAGAAACTCCATTACAACTTGTGTATACATGCGAGTGGGGGGAGGCTGGAGGAGGAAGCCCCACCCGATACTCTCAATGTACCCTCGCACGTCGTCCTCCCATCCGAATTCGGCGAGGAGGTGAAAGTCCAACCTCAGCATGGGGTGGCAGGCATAACCCCGGATGTGCTCGAGCTTGGCCTGGTGCTGGGGTGTCAACTAGGTCGGGTCCGGAGGAGCCGGGGCCGTAGATTTGCTTGGGCCGGAACCCTGACCTTTCTTCCCGGAAGACTCTCCTCTATGCATCTTTGGTAGAAGTACTCAAGAATGTAGAAGAAAATGCAGAGAAAGCAAGAATGGATGCTCCAAACCACCCCCCATGCCCTCCTATTTATAGATTTTTCAGCCATGGTTGAGACTGCCGTCTAGGATTTCGGGACGGCGGTCTCGATTTAACGAGACTCGAGACCGTCGTCTGGAACTTTGAGATGACAGTCTCGCTTTTGGTCTATGGCGAGACGGCGGTCTCGATTCAACGCGGGTCGAGACGGCGGTCTCAATAATCGAGGCAATGGTCTCGCTTTTTTGAGAGATTTTTTTTTTGCAGAAATAGGACCTTATTCAAAAACATTTTATGCATGCAATGTTTTCATGTTTGATGCCCTATAATTCTATTTCATTAGTTTTTTCAGAAGGATTAACTGGTGTGTCTTAAAGAGACGGGGGACCCTCTGATATTTTCTTCTTCGCTGTACTGGTTTGTGCCGTTCCGGACTTATCGTAACCGAAGAATGATATTTTATTTGGAGAGCACACTTTGCCATGTTGGTGCGCTTTTTCCTTACTTTAGGGATTTCAATCCTCTTGTTGATTGTAGACCCTAAATCTTGTCCGGCCTCAAAAATAAGAGCAGAAGACCTCCTACTCGAAGATGGACGAAGCCTAAAAAGCTACTAGGAGAGACTATTAGGCCCCATATTAGGATAGGAAGAATTTTCTGTATAAAAATAAGGATTTTCACCTTCAGGAGTCGAGACTGCCGTCTTGCTTTTCGGGACCGCCATCTCGTTTGGCGAGACGGCCGTCTCGCTACTTGCCAATGGCGAGACCCCCCTCCCGTTTGGCGAGAAGGCCTTCTCGTCACTTGAAAAGTCGATACCGCCGTCTTACCAAACGAGACGACCATCTCGCCACTTTTGCAAGTCAAGACCGCCGTCGCGAATGGCGAGACGGCCGTCTCGACCTTGTCAGTCGAGACGGCCGTCGCGATTTAATTGGTGCGAATCCCTATAAATAGTGAGCGAAGGGCTGCCAAAACGCACCCTACTTTCAAGAAAATTAATCAAAAGCTTGCCTCGGAGGTTTCTTCATTCTCTCTCTCTTTTACTGTCTTTATTTTATGATTAAATTGCATAATAGACATTAGGGTCATGTAGTCATTATTTTAATTCCGCAAATAAAAGGGTAAAAGCATCTTTTCAAAAGTTTATTTATAAAACAATTGGCCTATCATAGGGAACCCAAAAGGGGCGTCGTAAGGGAACTAATACTTCCCTTACACGTAACTAACTCCCTTACCTAACTTTGGTTTTAATGACTGAAGTTGGTTTTCGAAAACCAACACCTTTTCTTTTCCTTTTTCGATGTTTCTAGTAAAAACATCGGTGACGACTCCATAAGAACCCCTTCAAATTAGTTCTTAGGTTAGCCCGGTTATCGGACAACTTAAGAACACCCTTTCGAAAACCTCACCTTTAGGTTCAGCTCGGTTATTGGACAACCTAAAGGCGTTGTAACCCCATCCATAAAAATGAGAAAAATGGGAAAGTCGGAACCATCGCGTCGCTCCGACCGCCTCTTTTTGACGGCGGCGACAGATGGCGACTTTACTAGGGAAGCCTAGAGAGTTGATCCCATTTAGGGATGGGCCAGCTTAATAAATAAACTAAGAAAATATGCTTTTACCCTACCTTGTATTATAACATGCTTTAATTGCTTGGCTTTAATAACTGTTGTTTGTTTATTTTACGCAATTGTTTGAAATACAAACTGTACACAAACCTTTGCACACAACAATTCCCTCTATACCCGGGGGCAAGTGAGAAATCCATAGGGAGTAGGTGGCAGGTACGGTTCGCTGTAGTGATGGCCTTGAGCCCACCAGTGTGATCGGAAACCACCACTCAAGGTGATAACCTTCCTCTTTTGGCACAAAGACCGACTATGACCTTAGTGCTAAGCATGGTCGGAAGGCTGGAGAGTGGGGACCCTATAATGGGGGCACCTTGGGGACCTTAGCCTTGGTGAGAACAGTTAGAACCTACCTTTACCAATGCACTTTTCTGCAGGAAAACCCTACCTCGTGATTAAAACGACTTCTCGCCTGTTCGCGAATGATTGAATTGTGTGCGCATTTGTTTGTTGCATTTGATTGCATAAGCATAACAAACAACAGAAAATCACAAAAGAACATTTTTTTTTTAATAAACACCCTTATCTCGGACAGTCTGCCTTTTAGCTAGCCTGGTTTCATGTTCTTTGTAAGCTAAGTAGCCACACAGTCTGACAGAAGAGATAAGGGACGCTAAACATTATTCTTTCACAATAAGCCATTTTTATCTTGGACAGTCTGCCTTTTAGCTAGCCTGGGTTCAGGTTCTTTGTCAGCTAAGTAGCCACGCAGTCCAACAGAAGAGATGAAAGGTTATAAAATAAAAAAAAACAAATCAAATAAAAATAAATGGGACCTTGCTCATAAACATTACACTCATAAATCATTCATACAGGTAGTTTATTTTCAAAAAATATATATATACACAAATACCATACATCATGTAGAAATAAAACATGATAAATAGGAAAAATAAACACTCACATTCATACCTACAATAAGCATCATGTTCATAAGACATGCATTTTGGTTTCTAGAAAATGGAGGGGACTAGTAGACAGTTGAAGAAAGTGGACATTCCCCGATACCATACTGAGAAGCTAGAACGACTTTTCGCGATAATGCCATCAGAGGTCCGCTTCGACTTTGAAAAATCCTATGGACGGATCCTCGACCTGCTGAAGATCTGTGTCGATCCCATTTTTATCAGGGTTCTAGTTTATTTCTGGAACTCCAATCTGCGCTGCTTCAAATTCCCGCAGTTTGACATGGTGCCCACTTTGGAGGAGTACG